CCAAATTTGAAGAAAATTGCCGATCTGAAGGTATACTGTAACCTTAAAGCACAAATTTGCAAGCATGCCAGGTGTCAACTGGTCAAATGTATGAACTGGGCAGTGTGGACTACAAAATGTTTTGAAAGTTGTATTGGAATGACAAGGTAAGATAGTTTTGAAGCATCTTTTGTAATTAGTGATTTCGCAGACATTGTTTTCATCAAAAAAGATCCATACCCCACATAGAGGTTTTCCTTTAAGAGCTCCGTCCTCCTAGACTGCAAAACAGTCGTATTTTTTGCGAATGCGGGCGACGGTCAATATTCGAACGAAAGGTCTGAAGCCAGGCTCGAGCGCTTTACACGCGAGGATTGCGCTTACGGCGCTTCGCGCCCTCCGAAAACGTCCAAAAACGACGGTTTCGCAGTCTACCCTCCTCCTGATACTTTTGGATGTCCAAAGACTGCTCATGCATGAGCATTGGGTGCGAATATTTTCTGGAACTGCACATTCAGATTTACTAAGCGAGAACATCAGTATTTATCGTGACGATCTCATTCTGACGAAGCTTAACAAATATACAGCCGTATTTATATGCACAACTAAACAGCCTGAATGGTCCTTTAATTTGATTGGGACTTTGCAGTGTTGTAGTGCAATGTTCCAGTTTCTTGTTTAAAGCAATTAGCATTTGCTTAACCAACTTGCCAAGGCTAATAACAGTTAGTTTGCATCTCAGGGCAGAGCCTGCCGTTCTGAAAGTTTGAGGGGTACCTACCCCGCCCTAGCATTTGATTCACAACCGACATTCAATAAGCAACTAATAGTGAAGTACATTTTATATCATTGGAAGGAATGTCATCCGTTGGTGTGCAAAGATTATAATAACTTATAATCGACATGTCTTTGTATAAAGAATAGTGATCTTCAACGACAAGTATCAGCTACAGCACGATTCCTGTCAGTCAATATATGAACAGTGTAAATATGGGCAGTCTGGATTAAAATAATGATAATAAAAAAACATTTTCAAAGTAACAATGGCTACCTAAGATATTTCCAAAGGAATATAATGTTAGGCCCTTTATTTCTTAAAGGCATTCATGCTTGTTGTAAACAATATTTCACTTAGTGTATGTTCCACGTGTAAAAATTGTTGTAGAACACAGAGACTATTGTTATGACAGAGATGTTTTAAATGTGTGAAAAATTTTGTAAAAACTGCATGGAAACAAATTAATTAATAATCAAGTCATTTCATAGACACTAACCTGTTTGACACCGCGTTCCACTAAATCCCGGTACACAGCTGCACGTGAACCCATTCACTCGGTCGGTGCAAGTTCCATTGTTGAGACATGGGTTACTAGAGCATTCATCGATATCTGATTCGAGATGAAAACAACAATAAAAACAAATAATAAACACGTCATTTCATATTTTATGGTAGGCCCTTGTTAAAGGCATCATTTTTGGATCTAAATCCTCCAAGTTTCATTGCCTTCACTTTTTAGTGTCATAGCTTTAAATCCCTCCCCTCCCCCTGTCCCAAAACACCAGAAACAAGGTCTATCTTATAAGTGCGTCCCTAGTTAAGTAAATTAAATATACAGCGCAAAAATACATGTTAAGAACTTCACTCAGAGTCGCCTCAGAGATATTATTTTAATAAGGCTTATACAAACTGTACTCAGTCTCCTGATTCTCTTAAGGAATGTTGCATGCAACTTGTCCAAAGAATAAATGGCATGTAGACACTGACCTGTTTGACATCGAGTTCCACTGAAACCCAGTACACAGCTGCACGTGAACCCATTAACGCGGTCAGTGCAAGTTCCATTGTTGAGACATGGGTTACTAGCACACTCATCGATATCTAATTCGAGATAGAGATAGGAATAAATAGAAATAGAAGCAAAGTTATCTCGTAGTCTATCATAGGTTAAAAGCAATCATTTTTGACCTAGTATACATTCTCCAGGCTTTATTGCTTTCAATTTCTTAGTGCCATAGCCTTAAAACCCCTTCCGCCCTGGTCCCTCTGAAACACCAGAAATATGGTCTACTCTATGAGTGTATTCAGAGTTCAGTAAATTATACTTTAAAGAAGTACGTGTGGTGTTTCTGTGGCAAAATTGTACTTGATTGTCGCTCAGAGCTATTGTTTCATTTTTAATGATGTTACTACAAACTATACTCAAAGTCTCTTGATTCTCATTACGAATGTTGCATGCAACTTTTCCAAAGCTAAGAATAACTGGCATGTGGATACTGACCTGTTTGACACCGGATTCCGCTGAATCCCGGTACACAGCTGCACGTGAACCCATTAACGCGGTCGGTGCAAGTTCCATTGTTGAGACATGGGTTACTAGAGCACTCATCGACATCTGATTCGAGATAAAAAAAAGTAACAATAAATAGAAATAGAAGTAACGTCATCTCGTATTCTCATAGGTCCTTATTAAACGCAACCATTTTTGACCTAACATACATCCTATAAGCCTCATTACTTTCAATTTCTTAGTGTCATAGCCAAAAACCCCTTCCGCCCTGGTCCCACTAAAACACCAGAAATATGGTCTACTCAATAAGTGTGTCCACAGTTAACTAAATAAAACTCCAAAGAAGTAGGTGCGGTGTTTTTGTGGCAAAATTGTACTATGACTTGATCGTCGTTCAGAGCCATTATTTAATTTTAATAAGGTTACTACAAATTATACATAAAGTCTCCTTATTCACTTTACGAATGTTGCATGCAACTTCTCCAAAAGAAATAAAAAATGGTATGTAGACACTAACCCGTTTGACAACGTGTTCCACTGAATCCCGGTACACAGCTGCAAGTGAATCCATTCACTCGGTCAGTGCAAGTTCCATTGTTGAGACATGGGTTACTAGCACATTCATCGATATCTAATTCGAGATAAAAAATAACAATAAATGGAAAGAGAAGCAACGTCATTTTCGTACTCTATCGTAGGTCCTTGTTAAAAGCAATCATTTTTGACCTAACATACATCCTCCAAGACTCAATGCTTTCAATTTCGTAGTGTCATAGCCTTTAATTAAAACCCCTTCCGCCCTGGTCCCACTGAAACATCAGAAATATGCATATCTCTTTTACAAGTGTGTCCAGAGTTAAGTGAATTATACTCCAAAGAAGTAGGTGTTGTGTTTCTGTGGCAAAATTGTACTTGATCGTCACTCAGAGCTATTATTTAGTTTTTAATAAGGTTATTACAGACTATACTCAAAGTGTCTTGATTCACTTTACGAATGTTGCATGCAACTTCTCCAAAAAATAACTGCCATGTAGACACTAACCCGTTTGACAACGTGTTCCAGTGAATCCCGTTACACAGCTGCACGTGAACCCATTCACTCGGTCGCTGCAAGTTCCGTTGTTGAGACATGGGTTACTAGAGCATTCATCGATATCTAATTCGAGATTAAAAAAACAAACAAACAAGTAAACAAACAAACAAACAAGCAAACAAACAAGCAAACAAACAAAGCAATAAAACAAATATTAACAACGTCATTTCGTATTCTGTTATAGGATTTTGGGGACGGAAACATTTTTGGAACCAATATGCATCCTTCAAGCTTCATTGCCTTCAATGTTTAGTATCCCCCT